TTACAGAAGAATTCAGATGTAAGCTAAACAGACAAAAGTATAATTATCTTTTTTTGCAGCTCTTATTGGTTTCAGGTGATTCTTTGGGTACTACCAAGTCAAGCTTCTCTTATAAAGAACTGGATTTCACTCCCAAAACAGAACAGTTTCCACAGGGGGAAAAAAAAAAAAAAAAGTATTCTGATAAGAAATTACCTAAATCTACCTACTCTTAATAAAGGGAGAAATTCCTCTAGTGAAGGGATAAAATGGCATTCAGATGCATATCTACATTTTATCTGCTCTGATTTGAATAGTTCTGCAAGGAAGGCATATCATCTCACAAAAACCCTAAAAATCCAAGTCTTTTTTTACCCTTCCTTTTGAAATACACGTCCATGTTCCTTCCTGTTCTTTTGAGTACCTACTGCTAAGTTAAATGCAGGATATAGAGAAAATATGTTGTGCTTATGCCAGAAATGGATGACAAGTTTCAAAAATTCTTTTTAGGAGGAGTTTGGCTTGAGAAAGGAAAAAAAGCAATCAGTGAGATAACTCACTGCCACACACAGAACTAGCTAATGCATGAAGTTAACAGAGGCAAATGGTCAAATCTGTAAAGTAGAATATCAGCTGTTACCAGGGTCTGAATGAGTTCCAAGTTTTACCTCCGTCCAGGTTTGGAAACACCAATTAAAAAAAACCAAACACACAACACATTTAAATTACTGATTACCAGTGCCATCATTGACAGAAGGAAGTAACTGTTAGTTAGATCATGTCCTGATATTTTCATCACCGTATTGTTCTCCTAAGTACGGTAGTTTGTTTACTCTATGCCTCTCACTATGGCTACCACCAAGCATTACTACAAGTCAGGGATAGCACATTTGCTATCAGACCAACTCTTGCTGTTCCAAGAAAACAGCCCCATAATAGAGACTAATGTACTGGAAGGATAAAGACATTTCTATTTTTTATGAATATATTTGTTTTCAGAAAGGAATTTGGTTTGTTATTTGTTCAGACTTAGCAGCAGATCGAAAAAATTAGCTGGAGGATTACTTACTTTCACGTTGATCCAGTGTTCCACTCTTCTAGCAGAAAGGAAAAGGAAAGTACCTTCAGGATCTCAAGGCACAGATCGTGCACTTCTTGTGGTATCAAGTAATTTCTTTTAACATTCTGCTGTGCAATTCAGCAATTCCCAGAACTGCATGTTATAGTTTGCATTCTGAACAAAGCTAAGTACCTTCCCTTCCAGGGTTCTTTTGTCTTCTAAATGAATCCTTGTTGGTTGTATTTCATGTTAGTCTGTTCACACTGCTTCTGTATAAATGAACATATTAATCCTTAATTTTCTAGGGTTTTTGTTCCATTTGCCAAGGAAGCATTTTTCTTCTCTCCAAAGCTGCAGATGCAGATTACCACTGTGCTGGCTTCTTCCTGTCTGGAGCGCTCTGGCAAAAAGAATTAGTTGAGGAAAGTTCACATTCATAAAAATGCGTATTTTCTTTTCACTTCTACCATACGTCACAGCTGTCTCCTTGTGTTCTCATCTGTTTTCTTTCAAACATTACTTTCATGAAACCTACCACCGCTGCTAGCATCTGAAGAACTGGAAAGCTGACCTTCCAAGACAGGGTGTAGGAATATGGGTGGCATTTTTAGTCCTTTGAACTGACAATTCCTCCAGATCTCTTTCACCTCTTAGACTATCTATGAGGAAATGCAAAACTTCAATATAGACTTCCTGAAGTATTCACAATGGTGGAGAAAAAGCTGTCTGGATTCACCTGTCAACAGCTTGGGCAGCTGTGGAACTTGAGGTTCATTTCAAAATACTTGAAGTATTTGAGCAGTAGAGGTAGGTGCAAGAAATGAATTTAAAAATGTTTAAAATCTAGTGTGGAAGCTGACATGGGTAAGATATACTCCAATTTGAAAAGAATCAGGTTTAGGTTGGCAATAGAGAAAGCAGAGAAATAAGTACAAATGTGATACTCTGGTGAGTTCATGTTTAAAAGTGTGGCATGTCAGTGTAGAGAAAGCTGGTCTGTACTATCCAGTTAGAGCTGCTACATTTTTTTTGTCTAGCATGCTCTGCATTGAGGAAAAACTCCATTCACAGAAATAATATATTTTGCTGTGTATTCCTTTGGGAGAAAAGAGAAAAACAAATGAAACATTGATATAGAGATGTCATCCACAGAGATAAAGAAGGCCTAAAATGAAGCAAAGATTTCAAGGAATTGTCCTTTTATATCTTCAGCAACTCAATCTAGAAAACACCAGGGAAGAACATCAAAGTGAACATGAATTAGCATGCAGTTGCCTAAGCTATCTAAGAGATCCTGGAGTAGGAATCTAGAAATTAGAACTTTAAATTCCATTATACCTGCTTTCTTCTTGTCTATTGAAAAGAGTACCAAGAAAATCAGATAGAACAGACTCTTTCTCCCTTTAACTATTTTGGTGCAAAAAGCCCCAAACCAAAAAACAGCACAGTAGGTGAAGGGGCAGATGCACCTACTGCCAGAGAGCTTTTCAAACCAGTTTGATCCTCCAGTCCAGCTACAAGCAGCAGAATCTCTCTTGATTGAGAACCAGCTCTGTGTTTTGTTTAACAGCGGCTGGCACATTACAGAAACTCTAACTTAGATGTCTCACTACATATGCTAGAAAAAGAGTAACCTAAACTGGTTCCTCAGACATTATCTCAAGTTTGTCTCACATCACTCACAATGAAGCAACTGGTACTAATGTATCATCACCCGCACTGCAAATCACCCTTTAAGCAATTATCAACTGGTAGACTCTATTAAAACTGTAGCCTGTATTAGTCTAGCATCCTCAAAACAGTAAAGATACATTTTTTGTTAAGAAACAGAAATATCTAAAATGTTATTTGTTATAGGATGTTCCAAAGGCTGTTAATCTTCTGCCTACACCTTAAGAATGAAAAAAAAAAAAAAAAAAAAAGAGAGAGAGAGAGAGAGAGAGAAATCTAATTTAAACATGTGCTACTAGGGATAAAAAATTCAGGTTGGTGTTACATTAAATTACTCAGGAGACTGAGGTATCCAGCCACGATCTTCAGAAAAAAAGAAAATTATAGGGTCTATCAATTAGAGAAGCAGTGCTCTGAGCCTATGTGCTGGCATGCTTACAGTTTTTTTAATGTCTGGCAGGATGTTTTACAAACTAAACTCAGCAAGATGACAATTCCACCAGAAGGTGCTTCAGATGGTTTTGCTAATAATTTTGATCAGCTGAAATGGAGAAAAACATCACTTTATTTGGCTTTTCCAGAACCTGTCAAATCTGAGCAGAGCTATTAATTGCCCCCTTCTGCATCACCCACCAGCCTTTCCCACTTTCTTCAAGAAAAGACATGCTTCAATTTATTTTTTTCCTGAAAGTATTCTGCATAATCAGCCTTTGTTTCCAAAACGCTGTTTGGTCATTCTTTGTGCACTTCCTTTGCTAGAAGGAAGTACCATTTCTTGAAAATATTCATTGGAGGCTGGTATTGCTACTGCTAGAAACATGTAAGTGCTAACCACCATATATTGGCTTTTGTTTTAATAGCCTTTTAACCAACTTTGTTAATGGACTGAATGCAATTTAGATATGGAACTTGGCTAAAATGTAGCTTCAATTGGCTATTAAAATTTAAGAGCCAACTAAGATAGCTAATTACAAAAAAGCTCCAGTGATAATGCTAAGCAGAATTAGTAATAGCAAATGACAGTCTGTCTAGTCTTATTCCCAAAGGGAAAGAAACTCTTAACTGAGAAGTCAACCAGACAACGTGCAGAAAACCTAATTGCATTACTGGTATTATAGCATCCCAAATCTGTCAGCTCACTGGGACAAAACAGTGAGTAAAGTCTGTCAAACTACTCAGGAAAGCAACTGACCCCCTCCCTTAATGCCAGCTGCAATAGTTTTAAGGAATTATTTGAACTTACTAAGAAATAGTCTTGAAAAAATTATCAAACCAGTACCATCTGAAAAATATACCTATGTCAAATTTGATTCTCTCTCCAGATATTTTACAGAAAAAAAAATACAATCTGTCTGCTAAATGTTCAAGCACTAAAAAAAGCATTCTCTGCTTCATTATCAATATCCTCATTACACCATCAGTTGAAGTGCCAACTAGTTCTCCTGTGAAGATTTATCATGTATGGTGGCCACTTTGAAACATAGGTAGCAGAGTCTTTAACATTCCTACTCAAGTGTCTCCCTGCTGTGCCTGTAAATGTCAGTCCAGTTTTTTCACGGCTGTGCACACAGATTAGAAACAGCAGGAGAGCTTGGGAGTATGACTACAATACCAGTAAGGACACTTGTCTTCATGGCACTGCTCAAGTGATGCTTGGAATGCAGGACCCTGCTGTTTTCTAATATTTACACACAACTGGAGTCATCAAGAGCAGTAAATGCAGTCTAAAGGCAGCTTGCTTCTTTTGTGTTAGGGGCTTTACTTTCAAATGGGATGTCAACAAAAATCTACTACACGCTTCTCTTATAAAGTGATGCATTTCCCCAGCACTGTTTGGCAAAACAGTGAGAACACATGTACAAACACATACAATATGCAATACATACAGCAATAATGCAGGTTATGATCACAGTCTTCCCCTTGGTCCATCCTTGACCATCCTGAAGCTTAAACATTTTACAGCAAGCCAGAGAAATCCTTGCCTATGAAGACTGTAGTTTTGCAGGGTTTTTTTTGCGTGAAAAGGAGACAAAACCTGCCTAGAACAGAAAGCACTTCTCAGTAAAAACTTTTTTCAAGACATTTTGGGTGAGAAGGGGTAGAGGCAGTTCATGAAATCTTCTGCTCAAAACATTCCTTTCAAAGACACAGAAATTTGTTTATTGCAATTGGTTTTAGTAGCGTCAAAAGAAAACACACTCCTTAAAACTTGAAAGAAAAGAAAGCAAGTTTATCAGTAAATAAGTCACTAACAATACTAAAATCCAAAACAACTAAAGTACAAAGAAATTGATGTATGTGAGATAAGAAAGAGAATAAAATATGCTTTCTTGACAATAGTTATCCAGAACAGCTTAATGCTTTTTGAAAAAAAATATTAAATGAGTTCATTAAAATAATAGCTTGATTTGAGGAGATTCACATGTGGGACTTCAGCAATCTTATTTCTGTTTCTGAAATAGAATGCTACACTTAAGAGACTTCAGCCACACTTTGATAATACCTAGGAAAATGTGCCCATATAGCAGTCTAAATAAAAACGACAAGGCACTAGACCTTTTAAATATGAGTTTCCAGTTTTATTTGAAAACAAAAAATCCCCTTGTTTTCAAAACATTACCTCATCGTTCATTCAGCATTTTATGCTAGAGCATTTTTTCAGTGTGCAGCTACTCAAACATTATACTATCAAGCAAGCAGTACACTGGACATCCACACAAAAACACTACCCATCGGCTCAAACGGATTCCTTTTGGTTTATCAAACTTCACAGCGCACTCTCTCTAATAAGAAATATGTTCATGCCCTAGTTATATGCACTTCTGTGGTATGTAAACCAAAAGTAGAGGTATTTCACACTGAAGTTAAATACTGGGGTTTTTTGTTTGTTCGTTTTTTTAAACTTAAAACACCAAAGAAAAGAAGTGCTTTTAAGGAGATTTTGGAAGTTTATATGTTTCTTAGCTATTAAAAAAGGAAAACCATTATTTTGTTATGAGAAGTGCACGTGAGTCAAGCTTTCACTGGAATTAGATACCTTAAAAAGTTATAATTCACATTTATTAACTTCTCCAGGCTCTTCACTGATATAAAACAAAACCCTGAGAGATGAGTTGACGATTGCTAGTTCTTCCCCTCCCTCCCCCCCCTTTTTTTTTTAAGCTCTGGGTATTATATCTGAAATTCTGGTTTCTTTATTCCAGAAGAACTCTGAAGAGTGAGAAAATGATACAGAAACAACAACTATTAAAAAAAAAAGGAGCTCACACTCAAATTCAGTACCTATCCTAAAAAGAACTGTTTAAACACATTTTATAATAAACTGGAATAGAAAGGTGTATTTTACTATGTTGTTATCTCAATTAAAATACTTGAGAAATATTTAAAACGTCTATTATTTCAGACTCCTGACTTCAATCATCTCTGTGTACATTTAAGTTCTTTCAAATTTACTCAAAATTAAAAGAAATCAAATGCCACACTATTGCTCCTTAAAAAGAACCAGAACAAAACTATATTATAAAGTAGAAAAAAAACCCCACTCTTTTAGTTTGCATTTATATGCACAAATTCCTCTTAAAAAATAAAAATGCACCCTCATTTCAAAGTTGGCAAAACTTTTCATTGGTACTACAGCAGACATATCTTATGCAAATATTTTACTAAAACATTTATTCTTCAAAAAACAAGTACAAGCAGCAGTCCAAGGTTTTTGTTTTTTGTTTGTTTTTTTTTTTTTACAGGAATTATTATGTAAAAAAGGGAATGAAATAAATTCCAGTGCTACAGTAACTGAAAAAAAAAAAAAAAAAAAAGAGATGAGCTGAAGAGCAACTTAAGTTGTTGCTGCGTTCATTATTTACTTCTGAACTCTCTTCCTGGTTGCTGCGCTTTTCTTGGTTTTTGGTGATGTCGTTTTTCGTGTTCTGGTAGCTACTGCTTCTGTAATTCGATAAAAAAAAAAAGAGAAAAGAAAAGAGAAGATCATCTGTAAAATAACAGAAATGAATCATAATAAATTATGTTGCTGCATTTTAAGAGGATAGATCAACTCAAATTACTCATTTGGTTTTGATTTATGAGAGGATGGAAAAAGAAAACAGGAATTTACCACAATTTCTGGGAACCAACATTATCCTGAAAACAACATATTGTACACTTCAGTTTTTCAAACCTTTTACATACAGTTTAGCAAATTTAAAAGCCCACCTTCAGCAAAAGATGAAGAATCATTCAAATCCTAAATTCCTCCTTCCTCCCCATATGCTAAGTCACAGTTGCAATCCCTCCCAGTGTTCAGTCATTTTTGGATTTTTGGTGCTCTCTGGATCTTGTGCTAAGCTGATCAAGCTGTGTAACCTGGTAAAGAACTTTTCTGGGGTCTCCGCATTCTGAAAGCTTAATGAGTTGCAGCAGCTTAGATTGTTCTGAACTAAGAGTATACATGAGAATGGCACACAGGTAGAAAAGAGAACACTTGTTTGGCAGTGTTGAGCTGTTGAGTCAGCTCAGCTATCAATGCAACTTAGTCTTTTAAATCTGTCATTGTTTTATGATTTTTGTTATTGGTATTCCACATCATAACATCATGTGGAGCACTGAGAGTTAGAGTTAACAGATTGTCGATAGTTCTGGGTACCTGGCTCTCAGAAGAGAAGAACTACATCTCCCAGAAGTCTCTTGCTGTTTATTTCCATTTTCCTTTTTGAGAGAAAGATAAAACTGCTTGCAAGTCATGAAAAGCCCCCTTCTTTTATTGCTCCTCTCTGAGCGTATGCTCCCTTGCTGTCTCACCTTCAGCATTAGAGTAAGGCCTTCAGCTTTGGACGCTCTCTCTCATTTTATTTATTAGCCCCAATTCCAATTATATATTGTATTACATTGAGTTATTCTGCATTCCAATACCATATTTACTAAATTTACTTTCTTCCTCAGATCACTGCTGCTGTTTGGTTTTCAGACTCATCTCCCTACCCTTTCACCTTTTTTCCCCACTTCCCCCCCTTTCCCAGGGCACAGATCTGCGGGTCCCCCCAGCTCCATTAGTCATGGAACCAGGCTGCACCAGACCATAAACTGTAGACAAATTTATTATTTGACAACATTAAAAAAAAAAACAACAAACAATCAAGACTGCAATCTAAAAAAGATTCTTAGTAAACCTGAAAGGCAGGTTGTTCAACGAGACCACACATAAGAGCAGCAAGAAAACCAGATCATTTCCATGAACCACATTCATCTCGTCACTTTTGAGAAAATAATATTATAATAAAACTTGCTACCATCTTCAGTAACACAGTCAAATGCTTTTCACCATCTATTCATGGTATTTTTCAGATAATTTTTTTGATCTTGATTTGGTAGATTCACAGAATTGCTTGGTTTGGATGGGACCTTAAAGTTATCATCTAGTTCCAACTCCCTGCTGTGGGCAGGTTTACCAATGAGACTGACTTCCTCCTTAAAGACAAGCCTAGTTATTTAAGTTCTTCCCTGTTGATCTACATATAACCCTAAAGTTCCTGTCAACTTTCTAATCTGTTTCTGACAAATAACGTAAGACTGAGTTTCACAGAAGTCCTTTACAAAGAAGTTTTTTACATAAGACAACAGCCTTTAAGCACTATGAATCACTGTTGAAGCTCAATGAGTAAATTTGGAGAAAAGAAACAAGGCAAAGAACAATGCACAACAAACCAAAATAGCCTCGTGCCCACTAAAATCCAAAATTACACCAAGGAAAGCAAAGAGTTATTGTTTATTGTGTAATTTAATTTGCTCTTAAAATGTTGTTTTGAAATGAAAAAATACCAATATCAACTTTGAAGAATGTCTCCATTCTTCAAACGAAGAAAAAAATTATTTTTGGTCCAAAAACATTTACTGCCATTCAGCACAAAACTACAAATAGATTTTGTTAGACAGTGCATCTTTGATTAATAAATCACTGCAGAAAAAACTGGCAGTTCTGATGATGGTTTCTTGTTATTGAACAGAACAGCTTTATCAGTGAAAGACCTACTCTGGCAAAACAACACACACCCTCCAATCACAAGTGCTATTTAAAAACCAAACCTATTTTGGTAAAATACTTACAAATACTGGAGTACCGGTAACTGAGAGCTACCTAAACATGTATCAAATCAAAACAGCAACTCAACTACGTAAAACATTCATTTTCCCAGATATATTACATCATATTCTCAAATATTAGTCCATATTTTTCCAAGTCACACAATATTTCAGCAACTACAAGTGTAAATTCTAGCAAGCAACAGAAATAACAGTTTTTAAACTGAGTAGCTTCAATGGCATGTAGGCTAAATTATTGGAACAGGCTGCCCGGTGATGTGGTGAAATGTCCCATCCCTGGACACTTTCAAGGCCATACCGGATCAGGACCTGGGCAACCTGATCCAGCTGTGGATGTCCTTGATCACTGCAGGAGAATTGGACTAGATGACCTTTAAAGGTCCCTTCCAACTCTAAGGATTCTATGATTCTAATTCAATAAGAGCTTACCCATTTCTAATTGCCCATGCAACACCAAAAAGGAGAAGATAACAGCCATCCTGCCTCTGATTTTTCCATTATTTTTATTTCATTAATGCATTAATTTCAAAGCTCTTCTAAATAATCATGCTCATGGAGAATCTCCAAGAGGTTCATAACAAAAAAAAACCAACAATCCTTGTCATGGTCCTTTTATTCAGAATTTCAAGTTTAATTAACAGCAATATTGGCTTAAACTATCTGATTAACTTACGTTAAATATAAAACATCTTTAGCTTCAAAGTTTGCAGCTATTTCAGAATATCTGAAGATGTGTACCAAGAAGCCCACCTGCATTTTCAAAATTAGTTAGCCCAGTAACACATATTGCTCCCTCCCCACAAATTTTCCAGTATGAATGTCAATTGTTTCCAAATATAGAAACAGTCCTGTGTGGGCAGCACCAAATGAGGATGCAAACAAAACTATTACAACTGAAAGAGAGGGCTCTTATAAAGTAGATTAAACTGAATTAGGTTCAAACAGCAATTTAAATGAGGAAGAATTATATAGGCAAAAAATAAACCAGATGGTGTCACTGCACAGCTTGTTTTGAGACTGCAACAAAGTTCAGTAGTGGCATAAAGAGTCCCACAGGCTCTAGAGGAATTATTAGACATGTTTACTATGGTATCTGATCCTCTCCGTGTAAACAGTATTATACAAAAGAAATCCAGCAGCACTGAATAAAGTTTTCTTCAAGAAAGCAGAAAAATGAGAAAAATGGGGAGAAAAAAAGTGTGGTAATCACGGACTCAGCAAAAAATAAAATGAACTGAACAGAGGGAAATAAAAGATGTGAAAGTGCAGCCTTCAGTATTTATCAATTGCACAAAGCAATGCTGCAAAAAAAAAAAAAAAGAGCCATTTTCATGTCCACGGTGAATATGATTACTTATAAGCTTAGAATGTCAAGAAGGAAAATTCATATTAACTACTGAAATTATCAAAAGAAAATACTGCTTCTCATAAAGCCATTTGCAGTAGTAAGGACTGTTAAGTGTCAGACGAGGCACTGACCAGGACTGTTTCAGAATGTTCTGTTTTAAAAGAACATTAAGGTATGCATCATTATTAACATAGTTGTAGGCAGATAACCTGTTTTTAGACTGGTGTACGGAACAGATCGTCTTTTGATGATGTTTTCCAGTTCTACATGAAGTATGAGAAATAAAATAACACTTGAGTCTAAAAATGACATTTCTATGAACTGCAGTGAGAGATTCTGATCGTGAAATCACAGCTGCTAAGCAGAAATCTGTTACAATGTAGGTATCGAAAGTAACTGAGGATTACATCATAGGTAGAATATTTTAGAACACAACTACATACAAATTTTAGACTCCAAGAAAATACCTGGTAAGTGAAAAACACATAGAAACATGCATGCTGCCGGTTAGCAGCTGCATCACTTGCATATGCTGAATTTACACTGAAACAAGACTGAGTCCATGCAGGTTTCTGTATAACAGTGCCAGAAATTAAAGTCTATACAACTCTTGTAGTAATCCTCATTAAACAATATTGCTATCACCTTCTGCCCTCAAAAGAAGCACAAGCAATTGAAGACATTGATCAGACATAAGGTTTCCTTTCTTCCCTCCCCTCCCCCCCCACCTTTTCCTTTGAAAAGGAGAAATAAGGAAGCATGTAGTCCTCTGACATGCCTTTTCCCAACTCCTTCACAGAACTCTGCATAGCTAAGAAAGACCTGTAGAGTAATGCTTCTGAAACAAGAATTTTTTGGTACTTGGAAGACTACTGAAGTGATTGCAAGAGGAACTAGAAGTTTTACTTAGTTGGCTTGTTCCCTCTTCTCAGCATTTTTTTTTTGTCTAACAACAACAAAGAAATCAAAACACACTTCAGCAAAAGAAAGAGACCAGAAGAACTGAAATACGCGCTTGAATTCCTATAAAAACACTAGAGGAGAAAAGAGAGGAAAGAAGGGTGGCAGAGCTGTAGGATGGGGTTTGAATTTCAGTACCCTGTTATGAGTCCTGTTGCTCAGTGATGTTTGCAATAATAAATGAAATCAATTCATTTTCATAGGAAAATACTGAAACACATAAAGACACAAGAACATATCATTTCACTACTTTTCTGCCTGCTTATTTCCTAAAGATATCATTGACTCTGAGCATTCTGAAAAAAAAAGTAATATAAAATTGCTCCAGATAAAACTGAAAGACTTATTTACTCCTATTTGCTGAAGAGGCTCCAAAACACAACTATACAAACTTACATAAAACAGTAGTCACATGTAGCACGTGTTAAAAACAGCCTTCCTCTTCACTGCACAGCAGTGTGCAGGAAGAATAAAATTTAGGTTAAACATGTACCATCAACTTTGAAAAGGGGACTGTTTCCTGTATGATTCTGGGTCACTAAATGTTTTTTTTTTTTCTTCTGTCTTTTCTAGAGAAAAAAATTTACTGCCAGGACTTGTATCTGAGTTTAAATTGCAACGTGTTCAAAACACTGCGCAGTATCTTCAGGTCACAGAACAAGAAAAAAGCAAACATCTCTTTTACTCTTACATGAGATAGCTATACACATTTTCCTCAGATTTCTTTCAACGCTTTTAAAATACTTTACATTTAATGCTTTTCATTAGCAGCAAATGAAAGAAAATTCCATGAGACACAATAGGGGACATTAATATATTTTATATTATAAAGGTGTTTATAGTCTTAGGAGTCTGGAGAGACTGCGCAGCAATGAGCTTAAGATAAGAAACTGTTCCAAGCAGACAGGAATATACAGGAGTATTCCTGTATTTTACATATAGGAAACTGAAAATAGGCACTTATTATCATCATCATGAGCGTGATAATACAAGTGAAAGAAGACAAGAACAACAGATAATTAGAACTACTGTAAAGAACAGGTTTTTGTTAAAAAGGTTTATACTAAGGAGTAAGATTAAGGGGTAGAAATCTATCAGTAATGTGTGCTTAGGTGTGGAGTACAAAGATAAGTAACAAGTAGTGCCATGGACAAGCTCAAAAAAATCCTATTATTTGCTTACTCCTAAAACTCAATGACAAGACCAACAATCCCCTAAATATAAAATGGAATCCAAGTATGGATTTAATCTAACATTAAGTAATCAATCTTGCTTGAATAAAGAAGACTTCTAAGACAAAAACTCAGATTCTGATTTATGCAAAGCTATGAAACATGAGAAGTAAATAAACACAAAGCTAAGTATCAATTAAGAAATGCTACTAAACCTCACGTGGTTTTTTTGTTGTTTTATTTTTTGTTTTTTTAATACACTGCAAGAGTAGCTGAAGACCCCAGCCAAGGCCTTATAATGTTAGATGTTGTATAGCAATATAGCCATGCACAATTCCTACCTTTGGCAGTGCTACTTATTAAAAAATGCCATTTAAAAAGTACTTTCCATTTCAGGCCTACTTTAGAATTTCCCTCTACTCCAATTAATAAAATCCAAGATTATTTTGAACATAATAAAAAAAGGAAATGAAAGGGATTGTATTAAAAAAAAAAAAAAAAACTATTCGATACAATCCAATCTATCAAACCCAAGATTAAAGAAAAATTAAAGAAAACTCCCACAGATAGTAGCTTTGAACTCCACAGGTTGCTTTGAACCTAGGACTGTTTACAAATTCTGATAAAACTCTTATTTATGCTACTTTCACAGAAGTTCTCTATAGTAGCTGCCTAATCCACACACCCTGACTTTAAAAAAAACACACTAGAACTAGTAATATTATGCAATACACTCCTGCAGAAGTGTTAGTGGATACATATAGTGCAGGGCAAAATTTGCTGTTTTGTTCTAACAGTATCATCACTTATAAGTTTGCATATTTTATATCATACATGAAGGTAGCTAATACAAAAAAAAAAAAAGAACTATAACAGAATGTAAAAAAAAGCTTTTCTTTTAAATTGAAGTCATGTCTTTTAGTAGTACTTTTACTGGTGAAAAGAGGTCAACTAATAGGTTAATTTGTTATTATCCACAGTATCTAGAAATTCTGGCCTTCAGGTAGGGATATGGCAGGATATGAGTTCTCGTTACAGAAAAGAAAGAATAAACTGATTGTAATATGCCATTTTTAACTTTTTTAAAAAGCAGTTTTCATTATTCGTTTAAGTACAACACAGTTTGTTTCTTGAGACCTTTCTGAAATTCACTTGCTGAAGAGTCTAACACTCCTGCTTGACAGTTTCAGAAAGACTGTTAGCAGACATTTAAGCAAGATGGCGCTTACTTACACGGAAGTGACCACTCTTACACTGAGAACAGATGAAAAAAAAAAGAATTTCAACGTGCCTAATCTTTCTTCTGCTCTTTCCTATTCCTCCATCAAGTTTGAGGCTCCCTGATCACAGCACTAGGAGATTTCTTTACTGGCAGAATCCTTACAGACCTCTGAGCATGATGGTAAACTCAAACTGCAGCACAGCTGGATTGAGATCTTTTGGGACTGGATTAGACAACTCGGGTTTTCTAAGTAGCTGGATGCAGATAGCATTGATTAGCTAAACAGAAAGAAGCTGTGTGACTCTTTTTGCTACTCTTAAGTCCAAATACTCAGGAAACCTTTTTTGAACACCTTAGGAGTAACCCGTTATGAGTAATGCCACACATACCTACCACATGTTAGAAACCAGTCAAATAGCATTAAAAAAAATTTTTGAATGTTCTTGCATGACTAAACTTTAATTTCTAAGGATGCATCAAGAACTTACCCATGTTAACGGATAGTAAACCTTAACATATCTTTTAGTCACAAAACTAAACACATAGGAGAAACAAGTCCACGTTAATGTAAAATTAGTCAGATTAGGAAATACAGTTCTAAGTATTTCTGTAATCAGCTATTTTCAATCTGACAAAAGCATCAGAATTCTAAGATTATGAAACAGTTGCCTTTTCTTTCAATACAGATTTATGAATCACGTTTAAAGTGAGTTTTTAATGCCAAATTTGAAGAGAACAAAATGAGTAAGTGCATGCGCATCTTTTTAATGAGAAATCACCCCACCCCCGCTTAGTATTCACTAAATTGAGTAGCACAAAAAGGTGAAACTAGAACCATTTCACCTATAAAACTACCAAAAGAAGGTATAAAGGTAAATTTACGTCCATCACTTGTTTTAACTATTGGATGCTAAAAATACCCATTCCCTCCCAAAAACTTCAATTAGTCTGAAAAATCTTAGCACTTACATAGTTCACGAGATTTGGATTGCAATTTCTAAAGCCTTTTTTCATTTTAATCTATGAAAATCTCAACCCACAATCACAGGGGAGTTTAAAGATAACCGTAACATATAATACCACACTTCAAAAGTGTATGTTCTGCTCACATGCACCAAATGCACCAAGTAGCAAGTAGTCAACAGTATTTAAACTAAAAAATTATTTCAAGGCCTTCGATAAAATGTTAAAACAAACAATAAAAGTCAGCATCATGTCAAATAACTATTTCCTTCAAAGAAAGTATAATCTAGCTAATTAATATTATTTCAGCTGCTGACAGACTAGAAAGTTCTTAATAAATTGAGATCAGCAATTCAAAAGGCATTCAAGTAAGAGAAATAATCACAGATTTTAATGATTGGTATTCTATAATGTGAACAGCTGAAAATGAACAGAGCAGTGTCACCTTCTGGAACAACACTAGCTTAATTACTTGTACTTTGTACCACACTGAGTAAATACACTGGAGTAATTCCATAACTTAACGATATCACTGCTTCTGAAATGTTTTATTTTTCCATTCTGCCATGCACCTTCATCAATTATTTTTTTAAATAAGGAGATTTGTTTTGAGGTAGAGTCTATTACAATCTATTACAAACTTTATTATTTTTAGAGTACTAAAAGAATGATGATTTTTTGACTTACTGGAAGAAGCAGGCTTCTTTTTTTCTGGACTTCCTGCATCTTCCATTTCTGCTTCACTGCTCTCATTGGCTGCAGCTGCTGCCTTTCTCTTTTTCTGTAAATGAAATGGCAATTGAACTCAAAAAGTACAAGATATATTATCCTCACAAGATATTCTACAATTTTAACCATCATTTCCTCGTATAGTTCAAGCTATCAGTTGTAGAGGACACCTATTCATTTATCAATGTAAGAATACCAGTACTAGGCAACAGACAGTTTAAAAGTTCAGTTCCCCTATTGACAAATCACATCAGTTGGAATTTTAATGTACGAAAACATAATTTTTTGTGATCAAAATCTGTTTTATTTACATTGGCTAAATGGTTATAAAATAGATTCATCTGAAAAAGAATCTCAAAGAACATAGAAAAACATTTTACCCCAAGTTTATGTTAATAGCTTTTTCTTAAGCAATGATACATCACTAAATTCTATTTTATCTGGATTCTGGCTTCTGAAGGCTTGCCTTGCACAGCTTAAAAGTTGATTACATCTGTTAACAGTATGTTATTATTTTTACCTAATAGCAATGATGGGTTCTATTCCAAAGAGAAGTACAACTCTACCCTACATATCTTAATATCCCTAAATTGATAGTAACCTTATTATCTGTGTAGTACAATTAATCTTACCTTTGCAGACTATTCTTAAAGGTAGTTATGAAAATATTTTATTCAAAAACCTATATGATTCCTGCAAAGGATTAGCTGACCTATATTTATAGCAGAGATTTCACAACAATTGAGGAACAGTAGAAGAGTTGACATTTTTTCCCCCAAAACTGTGTAAGACTATAGCTTTACTAATACAGCTTCTTAAGTGGTTACAACTTCACATGGCTCCTGAGAGAAGGGGAGAGTGCATTACATCTTTCCTTTCCAAAGTGTTGCTTCATGATTACCATCTAAACCCTGCTGGGCTGAACAGATTGGTTCGATAATTACATACAATAACTGCAGTGGGCAGGTAACCCTCAGCTGGCACAGGGCAGCTCCCCTGTGAGAACTTCCATATGCAAACTGCACTGATGGAGTGCATTAGGTACATCTTTCCTGCCGGTGCACAGGCCTGATTACCGCCAGCCAAGACTCCAAGGTTAGCATGTCAGCAGATTTGTGATGCATTAGGCAGGAATAAACACAGACACTTTTGTTCATTCTGACCAAAATTAAGGAAGACTATTTCAGTGCTGTACTGCTTTTATATGAGACATAATACATTCCTTGCAATTGTACTAGGAAACATTTTAAATGCTCATCAGAAAAACGGATATCCAATATATGCCACACAAAAGCAAAATACATTTATCTTGTTTCCAAGCTTATTTAATAAAAATGGTTTCTTAATCTTGATGCAGGTGAATTACATAGTAATAGAAATCAGGCTGCATTCATCTAACAATAGCTACACCTGTGTATCTGAGGCTCATCATTAAATTAAATACCACATTTTCCAGTTGGTTCCCAGTATTTCCCAGCAACTCTTCAGTACTAAACAAAAGTAGCATGCGGTCCTTGCCCTGAATAATTTAGTATAGAGTTCCAGATATTTTCTTCAAAACACAGGATTGCAAGTTTTCTGTTCAGCTAGAACTATTACAAAATACCACACACACAAACCAACATGCATGTATTTTAAAGAAATGGGAAAAAAAAAAAATCTTCCAGCAGAACTGTGGACTGTGTTTCATTTACTTAAACATCTGGGAAAACTTGAGTCATTGGTGTCATGATATTGAAAACAAAATGTTAACCTTTAACATAGCAGGCATCTGTGCATTTTAGCCAGATACCAGTGCTGGAGAATGAGATTCCATGCTTATATGCAACGAACAATGCACATCATGGCTCAATTACTTACATAAGCTGAATACACAAGAGAATCCTACATCTTAACAATTAGATGGAAGCCAGACATTCTCTTTTGGTTAGAAACACCAAAGTTTCAGAACACCAAATGACACTTTCAAGACAGCATTACAGTAGATTGCCCTAAAGGAATTGAAGAGTAGGTGTTTTAAGACCTAGCAAAACTGAATGATCGGTACAGCCAAAACGCCACAAACACTCTACGCTACAGGTCAACATCTTCTCAAGGGTGGAAGTCAGACTCCATTTTTCTTTTCCAAATTAGACTTCAATCATGCCAAAAGAAATTCAGAATGCGGTGAAAGATACTGGCTTTCTGAGGCAAGATGTTATTGATCATTGGTAAATTATCTTTACAGAAAGCAGCTTCTAACAGTTTGGATCATAGAGAGTGCTCATCTTTCAAAAAGATAAGCTTCTTGTCACTACCAAAAAAACAAATATTTTTAATTAGTATATTACGTTCTTCCTTTTTTCCTCTGTCTACCTAATCATTCAGCAATTCTGTAGTTCAGCTCTCTCTCAACTAGCACAGATTTTTTTGTGAGGGAAAGCTGGAGGGGGAAGTACAAAAGGAGGTCCAAGTGTAAAAACACTAACCAATGCTAGCACAAAAGAACCCATGGAAAACTATTACTATACACTTTGGTCTTAACTGATATTGGTTACAGAAATAAGACTTGGGTAGTTTTATTCCAACGGAAACGTTCACCAGCCATCTCTGCTTGACAAGGACATTAAAGGTCACAGATGTTGTCTCTGCAGCAAGCCAACTTATTCAGCAAATAACCCAGTCAACCATTAAACAGATTTGGGTTTTTTTGTTTGTTTGCTTTTCCAAAACACTCAAGTCATGTTGATCCACAAACAAAAAAGAATTTATGCTAATAAATTCTTCTTTTGGACAAGTCTTTACACTTAATTCCACAGAAAATGAGACCAAAGCCGCAGAATTTCAGCCAGAGGAAACTGAGCAGTTCACTGGGCAAAAATGAAGAAAGAAAATCTGGAGATCCATCTTTAGAAAACCAAGAACCAACAAAATTTTCTTCCCCAATTGCAACAGTAAACGGGCAGAAATTTTGTATTTAGGTTGCTCCAAAAGTAATGCCTCCTATTTATTTTCATGGAAACTACAGATGCACAAAGCACAATAACACTACTTGATAGAGCAAATTCTTGGCTACAAAGCACTATTTTTCAACATAGTCACCAACATTAGCTGATTCGTGTAGATGAGCTGATTGAGATGCTCTTCACTTCATGGTGTAAAAGCTGCATGGCCATCCAGAACGCGGCTTGGCTTCCATGTCACTGCCACCACTGTTGAAACGCACCAGCCACTGCCTCACTGCACTCAGAGCTGCTGTTTGGTCTCCAGAAATGTTCAGCAAGAATCAATGAATGTCAATGGATGCCATTTTTTCTATATGAAGGAATTCAATTCCACACCTTTGCTTCATACTTCTACGTCAGACTCCATTTTGTCAGACTGCCACTCTGCTGCTATCTGTCACATGGCAACAAAATGTAATGGAATACTGGTGGGAAGATTCAGCCTGTACTACCATACCACCACCATCTGCCTCTGGCGTCATGGGCCAATATAATAAAATAGAAGGCATTACTTTCACAGCAGCTCTCTTAATATTATCCTGTATTATAATTCTCAACTCCCTGGTTCATGCTAGAGAAACCAATGAACTGTCCACTTTTTAAGATATGCAGTTAGACAGGTAATAAATACAGTTTGAAGTAGAGGGTATTTATTATTCAACTGCTTGCCCTTTTTTTGTCCTTATTAAAAATCATTTTATAACTTATGGAAGTCATATTCTAAAAAGCTCTTACACTGCATTCAAATATAAGTCCAAATCTGGAGTTTAAAGGCTTCTTAAATGCAAGAAACAAAGTATTGCCAAGCTACCATTTAATTTGGGTTCATAAATAACATTACATCACCGTGACTTCAATAGATAAGCATCAGTATTAAGGGGCATGAGAAACTGTATTTAAACAAACTTTGAACTAGTCTTGGAAAGGAAGCTACTATCATGATGTTCAACAAGGCAAAGTGCACACGGTGCTGCACCCTGGTCAGTAATCCTAGCCATGAGTACAGACTGAGGGAAGAATAAGCTGAGAGCAACCTTGAGGAAAAAGATTTGGGGGTTCTGGTGGATTAAAAACTGACTAACAGCACACATCTGCAGGCTGGAAAGCCAAGTGTATCCTGGGCTGCAGCCAAAAAAAAAAAGTCTGGCAGGTCAAGGGAAGTGATTCTCACCCTCTGCCATTTTTAGACCCTACTTGGAACAATACATTCAGCTCTTGGGCCTCTAGCTCAAAAAGGATGCAGAGCTGTTGGAGCAGCCCCAGAGGAGGGCTAGGATGATGATTAGAAGTCTGGAGAACATCTCCTGTGAATAGATGCTGAAAGAGCTTTGATTTTCTTTTTTTTAGCCTGAAGAAGGCAGCAGAGAGACCCTAATGCAGCCTTTAAACAGCTTGTTCTGAAAGTAATGCCTCCTATTTTTTTCCACTGAAACTACAACAAATATAGAGAGCACAATTAACCACTATTTGATAGAGCAAATTCTCAGCTACATACCATTGTTTCCAATGCATTGAAGCCAATATTCAGCTCCGTACAGAGTTCTCTGGTTGTAATCCCCAGATTTGAGTGGATGAGCTGATTGAGACGCTCCTCATTTCTTGGAGTGACAGCTGTGCATGGCCGTCCAGAACGTGGCTTGTCTTTCAGGTCATTGTCACCACTGCTGAAACGCACCACCCACCGCCTCACTGTACTCACATCCACTGTTTGGTCTCCATAAACGTTCAGCAAGCGTCGACGAATGTCAATAGGTGCAATTTTTTCCGCATGGAGGAATTCAATTATGCACCGTTGCTTCATACGTGCTTTCATGTCAGATGCCATTATGTCAGACTGCCCCTCTGCTGCCATCTGTCACACGGCAACAAAATGTAACGGAATACTGGTGGGAAGGTTCAACCTCTACTGTCAAACCACCAACATCCGCCTCTAATGTCATGGGCCAACACAATAACATAGGAGGCATTACTTTCAGAGCAGCCTTAATACTTAAAAGGGCTTATAAAAATAATGGAGAAACTTTTTAGAATGGCATGCAGTGATAATAGTAATGGGTTTAAACTCAAAGAGAGTAGATTTACTATGAGGCACTGGAATAGATTCATCAGAGAAGAGATGTTCAAGATCAGGGCAACATGGTTTAGTGTAAATTATCCTTGTCCATTATCTAATATGAAAATACACCTACAAACATCATTCTGGATTAATTTTTCACAACAATTAGTGTAGTTAAGTCAGAGAAATGAATATAACTGAAATAAACATTTCACTGCTCACTACTTCCTACTTGATGCAGTAATGACACCTACTTCCAGTATGACTAGTTTTTCCATTTAGCTCATAAGATGCATTAAAAGCTGTCAAATTCTTAAGAAAACAAAAACCTTTTGTACAGGGTTCGTTTGTACGTCTCCGTTTTCTGACAAGCCAAAGTCAAGTACTCCATCATCTTTTTGTCCAATGGACTTGAGTCCTTGCAGAAGTATTTCTCGGAAATGTGGATACACAGGTTTCTCTTCATAGCTCAGTTGCTTCACCTTTTCCATATATTTCCTTATTTCATCTAAAGAAATAGTACCTCTGGTTAATTTCTGTATGTTTCTGTGTATTTCTACCATGAAGTATGAGGAATTACATATGCATTAGTTACACTGCTTACTTGAAGTTTTTATTTATAAACTCATTATGACTTTATTACAACATATTTTAGAAAAAAATTAAGCGCTGTAATTTAAAATCGCTCCTCTTACCTGGTTTATTCTTCCCAGGAAAGCATTTGTCCATCAACTCTGAAACATTCTCTCTACATCTGAAAAAAGGAATTATTCAGAAGTATTATTTCTTTCAAGTTTCAAAACTTACAGCGTACTGACACTTCATAATTATGTTGTTTGGTCCACTGTCAGAGACACCACTAGATAAATCTTTGGTCTGACTTAGTATAGCCATTCTCAAGAGTGCAGGTTTGAGAACTTAATGAGTGCCATAAAGGCTATCAGAAATATGGCAAGTTTTTGTACATCAGTTTCAATTCTTATAAAAATCAGCAAGTAGAAGACTACAAGAAAAGCACTGTTGCACTTCAAAATCTCACATACCAGTGCCCTTATCTCCTCTTGCTGGAGGACTTTTTCTCTAGCTGTACTATTCAGAGCAGATTCGGGGCCAAAGCAATAATGAAAAGGGTTGGGCAGAACTACGGAGGAAGACAAAAATAAACATTGCTAACACTGATGGAAGAAAAAGTGTGAAAACTGGGCAAAAAAGCCAAGTAACAAATACTTCTTTACAGGACAGAAACTGCTGTGCTGGGTCAACCTTCTTTATATGAGAGGTTTGAGTGGAAGATTAGTGGGGGAAGGGAAAAACTAATGAAAAGAGTGAGGGAGAAAGGCAAAAAAAAAAAAAAACAAAACAACCCAAGATTTAGAAGTCCTGTAGCTGGAGTGATGCTCGAAGATGTCAAAGATCCATTTTTAGGTCTCATTTCTGCCACTGACTTCGACGTATGATGCCATTAAGGCTACTCATACCTCATGCTTCAGTTCTCTTTTTCTAAAGCATAATTACTGGTCACCTGCATACTGATAAGAGTGCTTTATGCTATTACCATGGTTGTATTCTAAAGCAGCAGTACTGCAGGATAAGTAAGCATCTTGTTTGCAAAAGACAACAGCATAACAGTACAAATAAAGTTTTACTATAAATCAAGGATACATTGTATGCAACAAAGAGAAGTTGAGGCATATACAAGACAGCATACTGACCAAAAGGGAATATTCCAAAAGCACAAAGCATTTCTACGCTAAAACATTTTGATTTCTACTTCTGATTTCAAAAGAGAGGAAAAAAAACCAGCAGTTTCTCACCTGATCTTTGAGTCTCTGACAAAATTTGGATCTTTCAAATTATCCTCCCATGGTAAATGGCCGCTAAGCCAATGAAGCATACAGTAACCTAAGATCTCCAGATCCCCACGTCTCGATGGTGCTAAATAGATACACATAGATTAAAAATGATCTGTAAAGGTAGCTAAAAGAAAATTATTTAGAGTTGAAAGAGTTAAAATTTGTTTATGCATTAAGACAATAGAAAGCCACTGCTAACAGTGTAATGCTACTGTATCTGTTGTTTATTTTAAGTGCAAAAGTAAGGAAAAAAAAAATATATTGCTCCTGCATCTGGAAAGATAGATTCATTTTCAAGTCCTTTATCAACCTCCTTTTTCTACTGAAGGATATGAGATGCTGCAGTTATCCCAATTTGGGAAGCTTTTTATGTACTCTGACTGTGAGCAAGCTACTGAAGTGATTGACTTTCTGTTCAATACTGCTTTTATGTCCCTCTCTATAATAGTGCTGAAATACTTTATGTGGCCTGAAAACCAAACACAGGACAGAAAGATACTGGATCCCTAAGTCTCATCAAAACAAAACAAACACCTCATATACTGGATACAGATTACACTTTAAAAGGATAAATAAGCAATTCAAGTCATTTTGTCCACGTTCAGTTTCAAGCACAGAACAGTTAATCCTGAAGTAATTTTCAAAATCTGACATTTTTGCAAGACATACTTTGATGCTAATTAAAAAATAAGAATGAAGAAAATCAAATTGATATCCACTAGAAATCAACAAGATATATTCACACAAATGTTGTTTCAATAGTCAACATTTTTTAAATTCTTGTCTTCTGATTTTCAATGATTATAGGCACAATTATTAATATCCATAATAAAAGAGCTTTGTTAAAACATCATCTAAAAATTCATCTGTGAAGAATACTGTGCATCTCTATCAAATATGAAGGAACAATGTTCACACTCAAAGGATTTCTCTTCTGAAAACAGGACTGGTTTGTCTATCAAGATCTCATAACCACTATTCATTTCTTCCTAGTTAATAAAAAGCAGTACTTTAAGTATCTTAACTGACCTCATAAATTAAGGGAATCTGTTTAAGAAAGCTGCATTTAAAACTAGAGAAAACTACCTTCAAAACAAATGTCAGTAAGTTTAGCAAAAGGAGTATGTTCATATAGCCCACAGAGAATCTTTAATAGTTCCAAAAACCTGGTCATTTAAAAACAATGCAGCAAAGTCTTAAGTATTTATTTTTAAAAGGATGCACAAGCGTTTATCATTGAGAAGAAGGTTTTATATCCTTACCCACACCCTTGTGTGCATCTATACTGGTATACTCAATAGTTCCATCATGACATCTTTTAGGATCTTCCTTATATGCTTTATGAACTCCTTCAGGACAGTATCGGTAGGCAAGCCCATAATCCACTAAATACACCTTGTAATTTCCACAAAGAATTCCAAGGTTAAAGAATTATAAATACAAAAATATGCAAATAATAAAATTCCAACTACTCTCAGTTCTTAAAAAGACTTAAAAATTATCTCTTTTTTCATTTAAGTGATCCTCATTTTATTGAGATCGCTACATATGATTTTAAACAATGTCAAGTTATTTTTTCCTATTGCAGTTTGATCTAAAGAGCATTTCCTGCCAATGAAAAGTACAGCAAAACAGTCAGTTATAACCAACAAGTTTCATTTCATTTCAAACAAACAAAAAAACTCTACCAAATCTCAGTGTTCAGAGTTATTCTGTCTCTCACTTACTGTCCTACCTCCTTTTCAGTCAGTTGTCCCTATTTAAACAATACTGACTGCTATATATCTCTCACATTATCCCCACTGACATCAGTGACTTTAGGAGAACTGATATCGTTTTATTTATTACCCGAGTTAAAATTTGGGCAAGAAGATACAACTCTGAAATTCTAATACACATTTTTTGAATAGCGAAGAAAGTTACAAACGCAGGAAAATGAGACTTCTGTAAATCAAGTGGAACAATCAAGACTTTAAAGACCAATTTTTCCAACTAACAGAACACTTATCTGATGGATTTCTTGAACAAAGGAACAAAGTAACAATGCAGACAGGCAAACATAATTTACTGGTGTGCTATATAATTTTAAGCTTCCACCTGCAAATACCTATTTGAGAGGCATTTTTTTTTTTAATCTTGAGAGCTTCTCTAGATTATTATTTAGGGCAAATAGTCAATTTGATAACTGTCCAGCAAACTGCATTAAAAAATCGTAGAATATTAACTAGATATAAATGTCAAGCAGAAATAATGTTACTACATACATTCTTAAAAATGAGCTTCTGCTAGATTTCACCAGTTCAAAGCACTTCCATGTGTTGTCAAACAGAAGGTTTAAAACATGAGGAATAAAATGCATCAGAAATACCTGATTAGGGTTCTTGCAACTCTGAAGAAGGTTTGAGGCCTTGATGTCTCCATGCACATATTCATGCTCATGGATGTATTCCAGGATATCAAGCTAACAAAACAAAACAGAAATGTAAATGCAGTACCCAGCTCCACCCAGCAGAGGACCTATACTCAGCACAAAAATGGGATTTAACTGAACGAGCTACACAAGGAAGCTAGATTGTTAAAAACAAATTTTAAAACTTACTATTCTCAAGCCTAATTGAAGTACAGTTTTATGAGCAAATCGCTTTGCATTCTCTTCATACACCTTCTGAAGATCTCTTCCAAAACGATCCATTATCATAAACCGATAGCTAAGTGCAAGGGAAAAAAACAGCGAAGTTAATGAGTTGTTCTTTGTAAAGTATTTTATCTATGTGTTAATTGTATAAATGACTGAATGAAAACACCTCAGAAGATAAGCTGCAGGTTCCAAGAAAGCACATTTATAGGAAATACATCTTTTTATTTCTTTTATACAGTGATATATCAACTAGTAGCTTTTCTGCATGAGCTAGTCATGTCTGCCCATTTAAAAGAACAGTGCCTGTTATGCCCGGCTGGTTACACGATACCATGCTCAGACAGGAAAATATTGCAATTCACCATAGGTAAAACCAAGCACCAAGTACTTACAGAAATAAATTTTTTTTGCTTCTAAATGACCAAGTGATTTAATATTGTTACTTTAAAGAGTTAGTTCCTTGAAATCTATTAAAACCTTTCTTTTGGCCTACTACGAAAAATAAGTCTCACTTGCCAACAATGTCCTGACATTCCTCACTATAGTCAAAGTGGTTAATGTAAGAGCTCACAGTAACTACACAAAAGAGCTTTGCATACTCAACTGTGAATATAATCAAAAAATTTGCTCCAAAGAGACATTATTATATTTACTTTTGTCTTTCAAAATTCACGTAATTTTTACATAAGATAAAGCCTAACATACCGCCAGAGAACTAGTAAAACTTTGTGGCATAGCAATAAAAGTAAAGTCCACTAGGAAGCCAGGTTTTATAAAGAGGTAGATCATTCAATACCAAATAATACATACTCATTGTGACAAAGAATGCTAAAAATTTTAGTCATAATAATCATGGATATACAAAGTAAAATTTTAATTTAATTCACATACGAACGGCTTCTAATTCACATACACATATACGTAGCCTTACTGTTTCCAGCAATATTTGAGACAAATGAAAACTAAGATACACTTTATACTGTTTCTTATTCATTTGTGTATCTAGTCATCTATTCCTTATACATATCCTGTTATGAATTTTTATTTTAGAAGTGAACAATACTAACGTAAATGAAAAACACATCTTTAATCAAATTAGGTTAAAACAGATGGTGGGTGTTGATAAAATAAATCCTCGTATATGCCAACAAAAGATATAGTCACCTGTTTCCACTTTTTTCATGCAAGCCAGAACCCCAATATCTTGGTACACCTAAATATTTCAGTTTATGGGACTTAGTCCACTTCTGAACTGAAAATACAAATAAAAGTAAGTTCATGAATTTGCATCAGGAGAGTTTACATAGAAGGAGGGTACTCGTCACTTACAGTTTCTGTATACATGTGAGCTGCTTATTTTATGGAAACTACTATGCCAGTCGTACTGGAAAATTAACGATGCATCATTTACAGGGACAGAGATACAACTAAGGTTTAAGTTTAGACAATGCCATTGATACCATTATAATGAATGTATTACCAGACCCTCTAGTTTTACTATACGCGTTTACTATATGCCTGGAGATTGTATGCCTATATGTTTTTAATCATTTAAAAATAATTTTGAAAATTATCTAAAAAGATTGTTTTAAAGATCAACATTACTCCTGTACACTCCATTTTCCTAAATGCTTGTTGTTCATTAAAAACATTTTAATAGACTGCTTACTTTCATCTGGCTTAGCAGCTCGCATGTAGAACTTTAACTCAGTAAAAAGAGGTCCATTCTGGCTGGGTTCCTTTAAGACAATTTAAAATTAGTTAAAAACTGCTGTAATTATTAGGCATTAGCACTAAGAGCTAAAAAAAAAAAAAAAAAAAAAAAAAAAAGTACCTTCACCCACTAAAAGCATAAAAATAATGAATTCAATAGAATGATTTTTTTTAATAAAGTAACATTGGCTCTAGAAAGTTACTTTTATTACAAGTTGCTTAACAGTAAAGGTATCAAAAAATTATTTCCCATAACAAAGGAAGAATAAAAAAATAACAAGTGAAACATATAGAAATATTACCAGTAATTGGCACTAACAGTTAAGGAAAAAACATTAAGCAACATATTTGAGGTTTCCCAAATTAAAGTCGGATTGCCACACCTGCAATAGTCATTAGTGAGCTTAAATAACATCTGAAATGACTGGAAAGAAAAACCTCAACAAAAGTTAAATTCTTGCTGAACATGAGGTATTTTGTGCCTTTCATATCTTAGCTGATCAAGGTAAAAGTTAGATAAGATTTCATGAGTTCTCTCTAACTGAAGATCTACACTTATTCTGACTTTAGCTTAAATGCAAGGTAGACACTTATGCAATGAATTTGAGTTTAATCTTCCCTGGATAGTCTACAGTAGCTAAATATTACATGTGAAGTGCAAGAGCAAAAATGGTCTGAAAACACCAAAGCTTTGAAATACTGCAAGAATTGCAGGTATGTAAGCACTTTAACTGTACATTTTCATAAGTTAGTGAAGAAAAAGAAGAAAAATGACTTCAACTCTTGCACTTAAGTGACAGATTCTGAGACAAGCTTCAGCAACTTTTGTTAGTCCGGTTACTCCTATGTCCAAATTCATTCCTTCACAGTGAAAACATCCATTTTGAAATATCAAACATTAAAAAAACCCACCCAAAATATGTGACTACCAGCAGTGACAACCAGAAAGTCTACAATCACGACAAACAAGTTTTTCAAGATATATAACATTGATCTCAAATGGTTAAGAGTCTAATTTTTAAATGCAGATGCAGCAATCCAGAAAAGTGTTAAACATCAGACTGCACCACAGTGACTAAAGGTTTACTGCTGTCTAACATTTAGAAAGTAATGTAAAGAGATCAAACACACTGATGAACAAGGCCTGTAACGTGCATCTGATTTATTGGTCTACAGGTAGAGTAAGAAAACCAGTCAGTGAGACAAAATATCAAGCTTAGACACGAGTCCTAGACCTGGACATGGTTCAAAAGCCTATCTTCACCTCACTTTCTGCAGCAGCATTGCCCTGACAAACAGTGGAACCAAGACAACCATCTTCTGGCCCCTTCTTGTGCAACCAAGCTTTAGACCTGAGCCATGAACCAGAAAAAAAGCAGTACAACCTATTGATGTATACACAGAAACTTTGGAGCATGCATAACTGCTTCCACTTACTTATCTACTATGGATAAATATAAAGTAGTTTATATATCATGGAGAAGGGTTTAATATTTGAATTCTTTTATTGTGGTTATATTGGATGAATGTTACCTGACCTATTCACTTGCTTCCACATAGCATATTCCATTAATACTCTAAATGAGAACATAAAGTCCACATATGTTTTTGATTTGATTTACTTATGTCTGAACAATGCTACTGTTACTAAAATTTATTGAAAAACTGTAGGTGTTAACAATTCTTAAAATAGTTATATTTAAATAAATCATGAAATCTCATGTTTGCTGAAAAAAAATTCCCTAGTCAGAGTAAATGCTGAAAATAAGGAATCTTGTCATACTTGAGAAAATTACTTAATCATAAAACAGACATCTACGTTGACTAACTATTATGCTGTTTCCTATAACATCATTAGTTCTATATAAAGAGAAACAAATGTGTATTAAAAAGGCTCACATGATTATATCCACTGTCTGCCATACTATTTATCTTACAACACACTAAGATCAGAAAGACTTCAAACACAAATTTCTACAACTTATGCCCACAGTCACTCTAAACATACAACTTGCAGAACTGAAATTAAGCTCTAATTAGAAAAGATATAATGGAAGATATTACAGAGAACAAGTCAAAACTCAAATTTCTTCAGGTAGTATTTTAAGAATTCCAATCTCTGTAAGTCAGCAATTTAATTGAGTGTTATTAAACTCTGCATCCACTCCTGAACAATGACATCTGAAAGGTCCACATGTTTAAAAAGCATTTCTTTTTAAATAAAAGCTATAATTCATTTTGTACTGCTCAGACATCAATACTATGAGGATATGTCAAAGACTAAGCCAATTTCCATCCAGCTTTAATAGCTTAATTTGAAGAACATTATTACAGAAGCACATATTTTGTTAAACACTAATAATTGTTCAAAGCTGTTAACCACTCTGCTTCGGATCAACTAGGAATCACCCAGGCATTAGAAAATAGACCCTTATCCATAGTCATGTTATACTACACTGTAGAGGCATAATATGATATGGGTCATTTGTGAGGGCAGCACAAAACTGGGCTACTCTTTATTGCCATCAACACAAAATTATAAAACACAAATTAAAAATGAGTGGTCAACAGGGAGATTCGAAATGGGGGTATTTACAAAGGGGCCGCAATAAAGCGAATCTAGTATAAAATCAAACCAAAAGTTTTCATAACTCTTCTTGTTATCAGAGGCCAAAGTAGAAGGAAGAAAAGCAGATGAACCTTGGGGAAAGGAGGTTTCAGAAATGATGCACAATGTAAAATAACATATTTCCGATGATTTTACAAGCAAGTCAAACTGGTTCTCTATTTCATCACGTTGAAACTCAGCATGAGCCTGGTGCTTGGAGCCACTGCCCCTCAGATGCAAACCATTGATGATAACTTGAGTGTCTACTCCTTGGACTGGAATAAGGCAGAATGGATGCTCCTTGCTTTGACAGTGCAGGCTGAACATGTAGAAGCCAGGACACCACCATACAACAGCCTGAGAGCTTCCAGTGCCTAATCATCCTTTTGGGAACCACCTTTCCCTAAGCAACACCAAGCCCTGCCCTGATGCAGCTCCATGTCGCTGTCACACAGAGCAGAGCTCAGTGCTGCCTCTCTGCTCCCTGTGAGGAGCTGTAGGCCACCATGAGGCCTCCCCTCAGCTCCTCTGCTCTAGGCTGAACACAGCAAAGGTCCTCGGCTGCTCCTCATACATCCTCTAGACCTTTCACCATATTTGTAGCCCTCCTTGGGACTCTGAATGCACTGTAGTTCGACATTTGCACTGTGTGCAGCGCTTTTCTTTTTTTCTTTAAATAAGAGGCAACATTTCAGGAAGAGTCACCACCAACAGTGTCTTGGGGTGCCAAGTACCCTACAATTTCTCTGTAGACAACTTATATGAATATCAAGATTAAAGGCAAATAATAATTAAAATGTAATTATTTTTATTTAGCCTCATATTTTAATTCTTGGGGAAAAAGTTAGGAATATTAATACCTTTGCACAAGTGGCAAGCTATCACAGTAAAGCATTTCAGATGAAAATGCCACACTTCTGAACTGTGCTGAAAAACAAACTTTTCACAGAGAAGTTCTTGTAGAGTCTTCTGATACCTACTTTCATCGCAGGGCCAAAATCTACCAAGGCAGTAGATCCAGACCATTCATTATGACCATTCTCACATTCCTTTTTTCTTTTTTACTTTTTACATTGATTTTACAATGTAAAAGAATCAGGATATATACAAAATAATCCAGCAAAACTCAAAGAAAAACATAATTTTCACATTTACCTTAGGAATACAGCATGATAATTAAATCAAGTTAAACAAATCTTTTGTTAGCATAATATTAAAAAAAAAAAAGAATATTTTATCTAATAAAAAGGACCTGCTGATTTACTTCAGAGAGCTAAAATATGAGCTACCAGCCAACATTGCTGTTTCCTCTATCTAATTGCTAGGTTAAAAAAATTATGCCTCCATACATTTTAATTCACTAGAAAATAGAATACGTATGTGTTTTATCATAAGATGTTTAAACAACTTTATATCTGTGGGGACACTGGGAATCAACGTTTTGCTGTTTCCACTCCCAAGCCATCTGTCAGCTTACCAACATCCAGTGAGCAACAGTTCACACAGACTCATTGATGAATCACAGAAATTGTCCAAAAGCTATCTAGATTTTTTTTTTGGGGGGGGGAGGGGGTATTTACAACAAGCAGCAAACAAAACAGAATCTGACTCATTTCATGAACTCTTAAACTCTGTTAATGTTCCACTGTTCAGCTCCTATACACAAGAATTCCGTATCTCAGAATTCCTCTATCACCACAGATCTGAGTTAGACTTAATCAAAGCATATTTCAACAACACACTGTGAAATTGTATTATTTTTAGTGAGAAGATGTTTCAGAATAACATGTAATTTAAAACATTTTCAATTTATGAAGTAAAGATTCAAATGCTCTCTTACCACTTTCACAACATAAGGTGCATCACTGCCAACCAACTTTGAAGAATTAACATCAGCTGTTAAAAAGAAAGGGTTTATTAGTAATATGAGAGGAAGCTGTCACAAAACATGTTCTTATTTGCTATGCAGGAAGAAATAACTGAGCAATTATGTACTGACATAAGCATGTATCAGTACTTAGACTTTGTCAAGAGACTACTTTGTATGGACATGGTCCATACGCCCATACTCCCTTCTATTTGAGAAAAAGCAGTTTATTAAATAAAGGCTTTCTTCATCTATTATTTAAAAACTTTTACGCAGTCAGTAGTACTTCCTTCATTTTCTAGGATTGTGATGAGCACAGAGTAGAGGGCATAAAGATTAAAAAGAATTCTTTCTACTTTTTTGTCACGTTTCCTATCCAAAAGTGACTATCTGTGGGCACAAAGCTCTTGACAGCTGTCACAAAAGGAGAAAGAATCACAGAATGGCCCGGGTTGGAAGGGACCTCAAGGATCATGAAATCTCCAACCCCCCTTCCACATGCACCAACCTCCCCATTTAATTCTAGACCAGGCTGCCCGGGGCCCCATCCAATCTGGCCTTGAACACCTCCAGGGACGGGGCATCCACAACCTCTCCGGGCAGCCTGTTCCAGCACCTCACCACTCCTCTGTAAAGAACTTCCCCCTGACATCCAACCTAAATTTTCCCTCCTTCAACTTGTCCTGCTGTTATCTACCCTTTCAAAGAATTGACTCCCCTGCTGTTTGTAGGCTCCCTTTAGGTACTGAAAGGCTGCAATGAGGTCACCCCGCAGCCTTCTTTTCTCCAGGCTGAACAAGCCCAGCTCCCTCAGCCTGTCTTTGTAGGGGAGGTGTTCCAGCCTTCTGATCATCTTCATGGCCCTCCCCTGGACCCTCTCCAACAGCTCTCTGTCTTTCTTGTACTGGGGCCTCCAGACCTGGACAGTACTCCGGATGGGGCCTCACGAGAGCAGAATAGAGAGGGACAATCACCTCCCTGTCCCTGCTGGTCACCCCTCATCTGATGGAGGCCAGCGTACCATTTGCTTTCCGAGCTGCAAGAGCACACTGCTGGTTCACGTTAAGTTTTTCATCCATTAAAGAAGTATAAAAGATATTAAGTTAAGCAAGTACCAAACACAGAAGGAATCAAAGGCACAGTTTTGTGCAAGTCATAGTTAAGCTAATACTGGGCAGGCTTTGGCTTGAACAGTGCAGGCATTCTTAATACAAGGAATTACATAACTTGAGTGAGCTGTAACTCCAGTCTCTGTAAATTTAGTAGCTCAATGAGCAGGGCTAAGTAGAATGTTTCTTCAACCAAAAAAAAAAAAAACCCAACCACCTACTAGTCTTGTTTTATCTCTTAATCCACTTAAACTACATTCTGTTCAACCAGACGCTAAGAAAAGTAATAATGTACCTTGTTTTAAATTAGTATGAATTGAGTGCAATCTTATCATAAAGAGGAAAGATATTTAGGAGAAAGATTGTTAACTGGATCTTTAAGTTCTTTACAGAACGAGTGGTGAGGTGCTGGAACAGGCTGCCCAGGGAGGCTGTGGATGCCCCGTCCCTGGAGGTGTTCAAGGCCAGTTTGGATGAGGCCCTGGGCAGCCTGGTTTAGTATTAAATGGGGAGGTTGGTGGCCCTGCATGTGGAAGGGGGGTTGGAGATTCATGATCCTTGAGGTCCCTTCCAACCCGGGCCATTCTGCAAGTCTATGGATCACCTTACATTCTATCCCTTCACAATTGTTCAGAAAATGACTAAGAGCAAAATAAGGTTTTTTGATTCCCGAGTTATCCTTGAGAATTCTACTCATTTGTTCAAAACACAGATACACTAATTATGGAACACTCTCATCAAAAGTTTACACTGAATTCAATAAACAACATTGTAAAACAGTGTTCTGATGCTTTAAACAGTAAGGTCCAACACTACAATCTGTTCTGAACATTGAGTACATGACAAAGTATATGACTCGCATCAGAAGTTTACAAGGGAGTGAAGAAGTCAGTATCAACACAGAAGTCAAAAACGGCCAAATTGCTATCAGTAACCTCCACAGAATGTGCTTCAGAGGTTTCAGTTCACGAGATAAGTACACTCACATAAGTATCCCTTCTTCTAGCCTGACCAAAACTTTACTTAAAACAAATATTCAACTATCTTTTCATAGCTAAAAAAAAGAAAAAAAATATTTACCACTGGAATCTCTTAAAGCTCAGTGTTTACAATGACCATTTCCCCACTCCTGTCAGTTTTTTTCAAGAACATGAACTAAGTCATGGTTCTAGCCAAAAATGTAAGTTGAAGATACAATGGGTTTCTAACTTAAGTACAATTATTCATTGTTTTGGACAAGCATAAACATCTCACTTTAATACCAAAGATGAACAGACTTACCAAGGTATAGGCGTCCAAAGCCTCCTTGCCCTATAGGAGCACCTAATTTCCATTCTTTCCTTGATGTGTCTGTTAGAACCTCCCCCAGGGCAAACACTTCAGCAAGTTTCCTTTTTGCAGGGGCCTTTTTTCCAGCTGTCTTCTTAATATATGGCATCTTCACTGCAGAGGGGGAAGGGGAATGAAGGGAAAGAAAAATAAAGAAAAGCAAGGATTATGTGCTGACAAGAATTATTTTCATGTTATTTTGCGTGACAGTGCTTTATGCTTGCTTTCACTTCTGATAGCTTTCTACATAGATTGTTTAATTTGTTGCCACGAAGATACTTTAAAAGAAATACAATAAGTATTTTCATTTGCATGAATTCTAAACAAAAACAGCAAATTTCTCCAGGCTTCAGAAAAAAAAAAAAATCTGAAAGCAAGAATATTCACATGAGAAAACTATTAGAAGACTTTGTATAATACACAGTAGAAAAATCTCAGAATCTGTTATACTAAATTAATCACAACTGATTGTAATTCTGAGCTTAGAAAAAAGAAAAACTAATGAAACAAAGCTCATCAGTTTTCCAGGAGTTTAATTTGCTTAGCAAAGAAATATCAGATAGTCCAAGCTTTCAGTAATAATAGGGACAGGTATTAACGTTTACACCACAACAAACAAACCAGTAATATCTACATTTCTCAGAAATTCCTTCTATCTGAAAGAAAATCTCAGAAAAAAAATCGAACTGTTAATTATCTTATTCTCCTACATAACTGCAAGCAACAGGAAGGTGTCTGCTTATTCATAGGACAGTACTTCATAGATCACCAAAATGCTACACCCAACTACGTGTCTGGAGACTACAGATGTAAAATTAATGTTGTTGCAACTTTCCAACCTCAGGTTCCAGACGAGCAGCATTTCTAGAGGTAATGTAACAGCTCTTTGGAACCAACAAGGCAAAACAGACCTCACTATAAGTAAACGCATGTTTGGGCTCTTTCACAAAGCCAGCTTCTGAGTCAGTAAAAAAATGTGCTGAATGCATGGGTACACCAAGGTAAGGTATGCACAAGCTCTATTTACTTGAAAGTATTTTTTTTTTTTTTTTTTTTTTTTTTTTTTACAAAGACATGACTTTCCCACTACCTGATGAAGATGAAAGGTGTGCAAAGAATCCCAGTTATCTCACACAAGGTGTAGCTCTGACTGTTGGGATTTTCATTTTATTCTGCTTATGAAAGCAGGAAGGAATAATAATACACAATTCAGGAAACTTGTGGATAGAAAAGTCTGTGTAATTAATTTTCCTCATTAGTTTAGCTAATCAATACAACAACCCTAATCCAAATGCATTTCTCAACATCAGTTTTCTTCTTTTAGTTCTACTGGACTTTCTTCTTGTAGTCCTAAAGAACTTTTTTAGTTTTCCAAATAATAATTAAAAAAAAAATCACATAATCACACAACTGTAGCAGCTGTTCTGAAAGCATTCCACCCTCTAAAGGTCCTTTTCTCACTTATTAATACCTTTAGGGAAGGAAAATTTCTGAATAATGACCACCACCTAACATCCAAAGAGAACAGCCCAAGCCAAGTTCTCTCATGTTGAATACAAGATTAGCTCTCAAATTCCCTGAAATGCTGTTTAAGTCTGCAGATACTGCAGCCATTCAACATAGGAATAAAGTGAAAAGACAGATGATTCTAGATGAAAGAAATGTATTGTTTTTTCAGAGTCCTTTTTAATCTGAGAATTTTCTCTGTCATAGAGCCACCCCTGAATACCTACATGGATGAAACGAGTAACTGCAACAAAGCAGTGTTATGAAACACCCACACCACAGGAAGAGACTGGTGTTTACTGATACCTACACTGCACTTGCTTCCTCATCATAGCATGTTTTAATCAGCATCACTTTCCCATATTTCAATTTATTTGAATACAGTAACATTTTTCCCCTATAGTCAAGAAACAACTTTGACATTCTACACTTAAAATTTAGGACTAACTTTGCTCACAATTTTACCCCTATCTTCTTGTCTCCTTTTTTTTTTTTTCTTCTTCTATTTCCAATGGGATATATACCATACTGTCTTAGAGGAAGAATCTTCCTCCAGCTGTTCTACAGAAGAAAAATGAGACTTCCAAGCATCAAATGCACGTTCAGCTAAGACCAGGAAAATGGGAAAGTGATGCAGCCAAAGCACCAGAAGAAACAGAGGTAAGAATGGCAATGTATTAATACTGGCCTACAAGGCAAGCAGCTTCTCAGGACATCCAAATCAGGAAGGAAAAGACATTATCAAAAAGCACTGACTGAAGTTATTAAAAGAGGTAAGGGGAAAATAAAAGTTTGGAACCCTTGGACTAACACAGGTAAGGAAAAAAAGTGCAAAAATCAGCAGTTACCCAGTGGACTCAGATACACATGAAGATTCTGATCACCATCACATTCTAGAGGGTACAAAAACACCGTATCAAGCGAGAAAATAGGTCTCAAGATAACAATTTGAGAGATATGAAGAGGACATAAAGAGGAGTGGAAAGACTGCAACATGACCTCAGAGTTACTGCAAATGATTCCAGAGAGACTTGGATAGATGGAATTAGGGTGCCTAAACACTGGACAGACGAATGTACAGTAAAAGCAAAATTCACAGCATCTTCTTCAATAAAGCTAGCAAGCCAGTCAAACTAAAGTAGTGATACATTTAGTATCCTTGACTTTCACAGTAATTCTGTTGATAGTGGATTCCCTTTAAAGATAATTAAGTTTACTTGAAATAGGTCCACAAAAGTGTTAAGGAAGGAGCTGGCATTTCTCTTTTTGGTTATCGCTGTCATTCAATGCAGTCAATAATTATAAGCCTGAAGGTATTTAGTTAAAAAATAAATTAACAATGACTTCCCTTTACCCATAAAAACAAAAATTGAAAATGGACATAAGTTTGAGCATCCCCAGCTGGGATCTCTGCCCTTAACAAATACACTAGATACACATACATGGTTTCTTGGCTGTCTCTATTCATATCCATCTGTTAGGATGGCAGTGTGCCTACTTACAAGTTGGTCAAACTATCAGTAGGCCAGAGGTGCCAAACACTGATCGCTTTCAATGGGCAGCATCCACAAGACTATGCAAGCACTCCTTTACAACAACAACAAAAAAAGCTGTTATCCATTGAAATATTTAAGTAATGACCACATATTTTTTTGGATAAATCAACTCAACGACACTCCACTGATTGAAAGCTGAAAGACCTTTAGACTGCAAAATCTTTCTACACTGAAGTAGAAAATGAAAACAATTGATAGCAAAAATAAAAAATAAAAGAAAAAACAGATTCTGAAACTGTAGTACAAATTCTGCCATTCCATGTGTTTTTCAGCTCACAAAACAGTGAATGTGAGATGTTTATCAAGAAACTTATGAACCTGCAAACCTAATGTAGAACTGCCCACCTGTACTTTCAACAGCTGGAATACAGTCATCTACACTTCCCTAGGATCATCTTTAAAATTACATTTAAAAAAATTACCTTTACCTTTCCTGCATCTCAATTACTCTTCCCCATCAGCAAATGGAAAGATTTTCTATTTAACAGGCATTGTGAAGCATTTGTGCCTGCTACCATCTGAATTCCCTGAAAAGGTTGCCATAGATGTCAAGTACTACACTATCAGACAAGCATCAAATAGATAGGATACCACTTAGCTAAGGTATCTGATAAGAACAAGGTGTGTGACTGTAAATTGCAGCATTTTATGTGGTTACACTATGTTCCAGACAAAGACCTGACTTCCAACAAATGTAAACAGCAGAAGACTATTCGCCTAAGTTCTCACTGAAAGATTCTCAGTACACAAAGGCTATTTCTTCTTCTCCTTCCTAAAGAAGCATCTTGGAAGAAAAAAAAAAAAAAAAACTGTGCTTGAGATATGCAGACAATTTTGCACCAGTAGTGCTATTAGTACCGTTATCTTTATAAATGTTGTCTGCAGCAGCTGCAACTCTAGATATAATTAAACTCTTAGAAGAAACACAAATAGCCACTTCTCAATTTGTGTCAGCGTCCATTTGCAATGAAACTTTGTAATTAACATAAATCAGATTTATTTTGAAGGACGTACTTCTGCTGTGTGGCAATTCAGACTGGTTTCTTCATGATCTTCCTTTTACTCTCTAGAAAGTGTCTTTTTTATTGTTGTTGATCTCAACAGGGCCCATTTTCACTACCAATAGTGAGAAGGCATGCTGGTGACCTGTGCTCCTGTTCATGAACAGGCAATTCCAGCAACACCTTTAATGTACGTGTTTATTAATAATGTTCATCAGTCATGGCAAGACATCTAGGTCTGCCTGCAAAAAAGAAAACAGACAACCTAACTGAGGGATTATCCTTGAGAACTAAGGAGATAGCTTATCCCCACAAAAAAGGCACCAGTCTTTTGACACAGCAATAACTACAGAAAGTCTCGCAAAAGTTTTTATATTATTGTTAATGATACAAAAGGACTATGTATCACCATGAAATAATTAAAAAAAAAAAGCCTTAAGCACAGGCTGAAAACTGAAGAAGACAATCAAGTTAGACATGTCTGCTATTGCATCTCAAAAAGAAATGCAAAGGGCAAGACATAGGAAATGAAAACCACAACCACTGCCAGAACCAGCTTGGTCCAGCTGTTACACAACTACCCTGATCCTAAAACCGACCATTAGTGACTTGGAGGTTTGTATGTAAGAGGAATACTACGTAGATAACTCTGAAAGTAACGCCTCCTATTTATTTCCACGGAAACTTCAACAGACACGAGGAGCACAATACCACTCAGTCAAAAAAGCAGAAGCTCAGCTCCAAAAGCCTGCTTTTCAACACAGTTACCACCATGAGCTACGCATTTTCGCCAGCAATGAACAAGAGCCTGCATGTCACACCACTAACAATTTGCACCAGTGGAGGTGACCCACTGCTGAAACGCACTACCCACTGCCTTGCTGCGCTCTCACCCGCTGCTTAGTTTCAGCAAACATCAGTGAATGTCAGAGGGTGCCATTTTTTCTGTGTGGAGGGTTTCAGTGACACACCTTTGCTCTTCCACATCAGACACTATTTTGTCAGACCACCCCCTGCTGCCATCTGTCACACGGCTACAAAATGGAACGGTATGCGTTGATGGAAAGGCTCAACCACTGCTGCCATGCCACCGACACCCGCCTCTGACATCACAGGCCAACGTAATAAAATAGGAGGCATTACTTTCGGAGCGGCCCTCCTACGCTTACAAAAGCAGGCAAAACGCAGGACTGCTTCCGGCCACGGCAGTGTTTTGTACGCTGGCCACCCAGGGATCTTCCTGCAGGTGACGGAGCTGCTGGCGACACTTCTACTCCTCCCTCACCTTTGCACTAAAAAACAAACGCGAAGGAAAGCCATTTAGGCCCTGCCGCCAAAAGTGGGAGCAGCACAGACCAAGGGGAAGAGGCGGGAGCTGGAAGCCGCCGCTCTCCTCGCGCTGCCGGCCTGGGCAGGGAGGAACGGCGAAGGGCCGGCACCGCGCGAACTCCCCATTAAGGCAACGGAAGAGCCCGGCCGCAGCCTGCCAGAACGGCGGAGGACGCGAGGCAAGGCCGAAAGCGAAGCGAGAAGGCGCCGCAGATCTCGGAGCCTATAAAAAAAAAAAAGAAAGAAAGTAAAAAGAAAAAGAAAACGCAGCACCCCAGAAGCAGCCGCTCCCAGTACCTTCTCCGCGCCCAAGGCCCAGCCGCCGCTCCTCCCGCGCCGTCCGAAATTCCCGCACTGCCCGCGGTTCTCCAGCGGCCCGCCCGCCCCGGCGTTCACATCCCAGTATCGCTCGCGCCCATTGGATGCTGCCGCTCGCCCGGCCCGCCCCTCCTGGGGCGCGGGGCATGCTGGGAGGTGTAGTCCGTGAGATTGCCGGGCTCGCGGCTCTGAGATGGGCATTTTGTCAAGAGTTTCAAGCCGAGACAAGTCGGGAGAAGGGCTGTGTCAGGCTGATGCCGTGCGGCGGTGCCAGTGTGGACAGAAGCCAATGTGGGACGGTTGCTGGTGAGGATCAAGCGGCGCAGCAGCACAGAGCGGCCCTTGGCAGCCATCTCTCTGGTCCTTTAAACAGAGGGGTTGGACGAGAGGGAGCCATCCATGACCCCGTGCGCACATCCGACCAGTGTGGATCTGTTCTGTTTTCCCAACTTGTCCCTATTTCTTGCATCTGAATCTAATCACCAAGTGCTGATTTACCCAGTGGGGCTGACTTGCTTGTCACCTGGTGTTCTCTGGCTACAAATTCATGCACTCCCACACCTGGTCTGCCAAGCTGTGTAGCTGGAAACAGGCACAGAACAATGCTTAGAGGCATTTCCAGCAGGGGACACGGGATGAGGCAGAAAATAAAAGGACACACCGCCATCTGCACACGGTGCACTGCTTAAAACCAAAAGCTATCATTACACAGTTTGTTCAGTATGATAGTAAAGAGAAGATTTCTTTCAAAGCTTGGGCTAAATTAGGAATAATAGAAATCTAGACTAGGGATCCTGCAGAAATTTAAGGATCTGAGCTATTCTGAATGCTGTCAAATCTTACTGCACCAAAAAGACTGCTCAGAAATAGTGGAAGATGCTACCACATGTGCCTGGAGAAGACTGAGGCAGGACCTTACTAACACTTACACAGAAGGATGGATGTCAAGTGGGTGGGGCCAGGCTTTTTTCCATGGTATGCAGCAACAGGACAAGAGGCAATGGGCACAAACTAGAACACAGGATATTCCATCTGAACATGAGAAAGAATTTCTTTACTTTGATGGTGACAGAACTCTGGGACAAGCTGCCCAGAGAGGTTGTGGACTTCTCTGGAGATGTTCAAAACCCTCCCAGATACTTTCCTGTGGAACCTGCTGTAGTGGAAAGGTTGGACTAGATAATTTCCATAGGTCTCTTCCGGTCACCTTCTGTGATTCTATGACAGTATTTCAGTCAAAGGATCATCCTTCCTGGTTAATATCAGATTACTGGGGTCATAAAAACATTTTAAGATGCCAGTATGAAAAATAAAATGAGTTATTTAATAAATATTCAAATTCTACACACGAATCCCTTTTTAATTTAATATGATTTAGTACTCTTGTTCCAAAACAAAATTATCAGAACTACAGAGAAAAGCTGATCTTCAGAATGACATTCTGAAAACAGTCTTGAGAACAAGGCTGTAGAGACCTAAAGTAATTCATATTATTCCATCTAAAGTTGGTCCAGAAAACTTTCTCACATGAAGAGAGAAGCCTAGACCTCTGATTTTTCTCTGTTTGGCCAGAAAAATCTGTTCAGTTTTAAGCAAAAGTTACATATATGATACACAAATCCTGTTTCTTTTTCTTACAGCAGAGACTTTTCATATATTATGCTTCCGTATACTAAGGTTTGGGCTTTTGTTTAGCCAGTGTGAATGCATTTGCTTTAATACTGCTATAGCTGGAGAATTCTTCAAGAGTTAACCAAATTCATAGCGCCCACAACTTTTCTTGGATGACCACTACATACTATTAATTTTTTTACTAGATTTCAGAAAAAGCAGGTATTGACCAAACTATCAAAACGTTGTACGGGTTTCTCATCATCCTTTTCTGTCATGTGGAGTAAGCAGATTCCTGGAATGCACTGACTACAACTTTCAAATATGCTTTAAAATTTATCTTAGATCTGGTAATTGTGTTCGATTCTTCTCCACAGAAAGGATGTCCAATTTTTTCAATAAAAGATTTCTAATCTTAAGCAAAACAAGTAATCCATTGTATATGTGCACTACAAGGACAGCAGTTAAGGGTTCAAATGCAGCTTTAGAATAGCATTAAATATCCAATATTTACTATTGTACTATATTATACTATATTTACTTAATTATAATTACTTAATTAATATTGTACTATATTATATAAGCAGTTGGATACTTTAGTACAAAAGATAAAGAATCACATCTCAAATACGGTTTTACAAGAATGTCTGAAGTGATAGAGATCAAACTATAGCATGAATTCTTCTATGCTGGCATCTCATAAAATAGCTGGGTTGATTAACTTTGAAAGTTTTCAGAAGACTGATGAATCTCCAGAGTAAAGTTTTCCTCAAATGGCTATTCTTTGAGGAGAGCTACACGTACTCATCAGTTCTAAAAGAAATGTAAGTTACATTTCCACATTCATATAATCATAGAATAGAATCATAGAATCATAGAATCAAGGAATCACTCAGGTTGGAAAAGACCTTGAAGATCATTGAGTCCAACCATGACCTAACCATGCTACCCTAACTCTAACAACCCTCACTAAATCATGTCTCTGAGCACTACATCCAAACGGTTTTTAAACACAGCAAAAAACATTTTTTAAGCAGAAAAAAATTTGAAACTACCTGCATCACAAAAAAAAAAAAAAAGAAAGAAAGAAAATCACCACCAACAAAAAAAAGGTGTTCCAAATAATTTGTCTTCTAATTTTTATTCTACAGTAAGAAAACAGGGAATTTTAGGCAATGTTAAATAAAAGTCTAGCTCATATGTCTTAAGATAGTTCAGTGCTTTGTCACAAAGCTGGATAGAATGCAATATAGGAATGCATGGATATGAGGGTTGCAGGAAAAACACCAAATAGGAAAATGATGATTGTCTGCAGCTAGAGAGATTGTGAGAGTTAGAGAGATACACTATTTACACTTTAGTTGGGCTAATTTCTGCTTTATTGTAGCTCTTGTCAGGCTGTGATTCATGGGCCACAGGTCTTCAAGATATCAGAAGGGCATACTGGAGTAAAAGATGTACACATGCATTTCCACATACAAATGTAAGTGTGCAAACTATAATCCAGAAATGTTAAAGGTATATAACACTGCCAGTAAATATTCTTCTTGAAAATAATTGCCATAAAACCTCACATAATTGTCGTTTACATCTTTATAAAAAGACTGTGTGACCTTTGAATTTAAAAAGTTATTAAATGTCACAATAGTATTTTTACATTATGTAATTCACATTTCTTCATGTGGGTTTGAGGAGCACAGACAAGAGTTTTTAAAAATCATTATGATATTTGCTTCAAATTGCAATCCTTCTAAAGCGTTAGTCCAAAAACATTTTGCTAAAAATATGGGTAGAGGTCACAAACAGTTTGAGAAGAAACAGTGGCATGATTAATTACTGAGAAGCAAATCCTGACTCAGTAGCCTTCCTTGTGTTGCCATCCACCACAGTGCACAAAGAATTATGCTTCCAATCACATCAAAGTGTTATCTTGCAGTGTGACTATACTGACACCGGGGAAAAATGTGGTTACTGCAAATTTTTCTGTTTTTTCTCTCATTCACATTTCAGAGTATTTTCTGTAGTGGAAAGACATGTACAAATAAAACAAAAGATGTGAGGTTTTTTTTTTTTTTTTTGCTTTAATGTACCCTTACTAATCTTTAAAAGGGAAGTTGCTGTTTTCTAAGCAGTACAACACTCCAGAGTTGTCTTTGTTCACCCCTTACTATATATTCTAAGAGCACTTAAGAAGATCTGCCAGGTTAGCTCAGAACAATGTTTATTTTAGGAGAGCAGTACAATATACTACTGTATAGAGTGCTATTAAAAGTTAGTTGGAAATAAAATTGGTTTTAACAGGTTTAAGATCTTTCCAGTTATCTTTACAAGTTGGACTGTTTTTGTACTTGATTAGATAGGCATTTAAATTTTTGCTTATGAATTCCTTGAGAATGCAGTGAATAAGAAGAGAATAAGCTATATTTTTTATATTCAATCCATTTGATAAGAAAACTGATTTGATCAATAAAAATTTTACACCTCTATCTAAAAAATTCTATGTGAGATAGGGCCAAAACCTAAGTTTTTCTCACTCAAGGAAGGTACAATAATATAAGTTCATAATAGCATGAAATGAAAGAACTTAATAAAACAAATACCAGTTTACCTCCTATAAAAAATGAAGAATCAGACTTACAGATGTTGATTGAAGTTTGTTTAGCTGGATGCAACAAAGGAGATTTTTAATAAATGCCACAGACCTGGATTTCCTGACTTCTAATTCAGTATTACAAATTACAAGGCCATTCCTAATTACACTATTCAAAACATACTAAATTCAAAATTAATATGCAGAGGGAAGAGATTTGTTTGTAAATCTTGCAGCTTTTTGAAAATATTCTCTGTATTCATTCCCCACATTAGCTAAACTGTCAAAGAAGAAATTGAATATAGGGAAGAAGAGGCCCAAACTCTACAGATTAACCACAAATTTAATAAAGAAGAAATGGAGTATTAAAGGAGTTAATGAAATGTTGTGGAAGGAAAGCGACATAGTCAGATCTGTTGGAAGTTTCACTTTGTTTCCTAAAGTTTTCTGATGCTAACAGACATGTAATTTGAAGCTGTTAAAGGGAATCATTTTAAATAACTTGAAGCTTCTAAGACTAAATGTTGTTTGAAGCACGTTAAATTAATCCCAATTAAAGGACTTCCATGAGTTTCTAAACTATGTTTTCTTTGGTCAAGGTCCAAAACTCAGAGGCATGGGCAATTCTTTTTTACTTAAAAATAAACAACCAGACTGTCTTGGATGTGAAGCGTCTTCATCCATCTTAGAAGCTATATTTATAGGTACGCACACATTTTATCTGGGTAACAGTGGATATCCTACAATGTAGATACATTCACATGCAGA